CAAGGTCTGGAGCTTTCAGAAAACATCCTGGGAAAGGGCTTCACTACTACAGGGTAAATGGGAAAAGAATGGTTTTCAGACCCTGCATTCTCCTTAATCCCATCCACAGAGCTTCAGAAACTGGTCTGTATGACACTGGAATATATGATTTTGTCCAAGTAAGTATAAAAGAAGTATTTTTTGCAACTCTGACGCTGTATCTCCGTGGAATATATGATTTTGTCCAAGTAAGTATAAAATTTTTTGCAACTCTGACGCTGTATCTCCAGGCAAACACTCTCCCCATTGAGCAACATTGCGAGTTCAAGTCGGGAAAGGGCAGCGATTGGTGTTTTAAAACTCTGCTAATAAAACAAAGGGAAAGCAATCTGTACATAGGAGTTTATTTAGATGCCCACAAGTTTTAAATCATTCCCCTTTATATCTCAGCCCACTGGATATCTCATCCAACTGAATTACCATTGGGGTTTACAATGTGATATACAAAATGAGCTGACGTTATGATTTACAAACATCCTTTGAGTATCATATAAAACACAACTGTTTCCCTTATTATACAATCATTAGGGCAATGCAAATATAGTCGATACATTAGTAGCTGGAAATGATGGGGCATTTTAAGAAAATAAATTTAACTTTATCACACAAACCTGTTAGATAAAACAAACCCTGTTTAAAAAAATGGGAATAAAGTTGTCTGAATGATTGCAAGTAACTTTTATATTGTTTTTCCACTGCCCCCTTATAAGAAACATAACAGTACTTCATTTAAAGGACAACTAGTTTTTTCACTGTATAGTCACACTTCATTCTTATTAATCAGTTTCACATTTTCTGCATGAAACGATGAAAAACTCACAAATGTAGACTTTCCAAACTGTAGCCACTATACTTATTTCTGCACTCTTTTCCATATACTCGGTGTGTTTAACTAAATAAACAAAAAGCAAAAAACACTACACAAATGAGCAGAACAAAACACAACAGCACGTTGAAAAGGTGACATTTAAGCTGTAGATGCCATCATCGCAGAAATATGTTCTTGTTCTAATGCCACAAACTTTCTAGCCTCATGAAAAAAACAGACATCAGCTGAAGAGAATCTAAAGCCTAACCTTGATAGAGGGCTAAGAGTTTTAATTTGTATTTCTGTCTAAACTGAAGTACGAAACAACACTGTTTGCGTGGTAAACTTAAAACTACGGGTTTCTTTGAATGCTAGAAAATACAAAAAGAGGAAATCTGTTTCTGAGCTGTTAATTGGGTAATGGAAGTTACCAAGTGTTAAGGTCTCCTGTCCCACATGTCGCTGGTACAGGTGCTTCTGCACTTTGTCATTACGATGGCAGTAACTGAGAATGGCAGACATCGTTATTACTGTAAATACAAAAAAGGAAAAAATTCTGAATTCGTCAACGATGTTACAATGGAAAGCAAATTCTAACCTAGTCAATTTAAATTACAGCATCTTAAGGCGCTCTGACTGTTTTCTCACTGCACAACCCAGAGGGATTATACCCTTTTCCAGCACTTGCAGTTTCTCTTGCAAAACAGAAGACTGGTAATGACTGGTGATTCTTTCCTGAATGTGTGTTGAACTGGCGATGGAATGTGGTTTTAGTTCCATTTCTCACTATAGGAGTCTTGCTGCTGCTCCACATGTTTGGAGAAGAAAGTGCTTTTTTTTGCCATTTCATTAAGTTTATGGCATTTAATTTTATAAATTCTTAAGACAGACTTATTTTGATTACTTCCATTCTGTCCAATCAAATATACCTTTGAATGTTTTAAAATGTTGGACAGCTGTGAAATATAAGTACTATGCAATTTGACTGTACATACATACATATTTTCATAAATACATCTGACAGGGACCTTGGAACTAAGTATGTGACATCATGGGACAAAATCACAACAGGCTGTCTTATTTATAAAATCTAGATCCAAAGTAAGTAGAGCTGGATTCTATCATGTGGTCAATACACAAATTAAAACAAAAATACAGCATTAGTTTACCCATGAAATAATTTAAACATATTTGCAAATGTCTTGACAGGAAAAGTGTGTAATTTACAACACTGAAAACTTTTAACAACCATTGACTTATATGCGCTGTACTGTAAGTCACCCAGACAAGGCTAGCAAGGATGAGCATAGTGATTGGTCCCAAAGGCAACTCCCAAACATCTTCCTCATGCGGAGACTTTGGTAATTGTCTGTTGTATAAAACGCCAACGCATACGACTTCATTTCAGGTGTTAACTTCATCGGTTTTCCTCCCTTGGCACAGTCCAGTCTGGCTACGTCAGTTATTGTTGAGACACTCTAAATCCACCGAGCAGCAGACGTTCCCATTCTGCACAGACAAACAAGCCGGTGTCAATCCCCTCCGCAGAACAAGTTACAAAGAGCAAAGGGCAAAGAGCAAAGGGGCTGGTGGCACGCAGAGATAGATGCATCTCTGACACATCTACCGCAGGCAAAAATCTGCTTAAGTCATCACCCATCGTCCTCATTGGTCCCAACTGTGGTGGCTTTTGGAGGAGGTTGGCTTTGCCAAATAGCACTGAACTGGCCTGAACTACACTTGAGCGACAAACCTGGATGTGAAAGACTTGGTGGTCCCCATAATAAAATACAGCACAGCAATGGCAACAAAGATGATTTCATTTGTTTTCTCCCGTGCAAGAAAGTTAATGGAGAGAGCTTTGATGTGATCCATGCAGGGACACTTTCTGTTTGTCTGAAATAAGTAGGTAGTTCATATTCTTGATTCATGGCAGGTATGTATGGGTGGGAAAAAAAAAAACACCATACGGCTTTGGAGTTTAATCCATCGTTAAATGCCTTTCTGCAACGTCCAGCCATTTACATAACTATCTTACGTATTAAAAACTACAGCAGCCACCATAACCCCAAATGAGCCTTTTTTTAGTTTTCCTTTTTTTTTTTTTTAAATCCAACACAAACTAATAGGAAAAACTCTGAAGAATGGCAGAAAAGCTACCTTCAATAATTTAAAGCCCTGGAGCAAAAGCTTGGTTTCCCACAGTGAAGAGAACAACATTTTATGTATCCCAAACCAACATTTTCATAATTCCAGTATTAGCGCAGCGGGGTCATTGCTGTGTGGAACAGAGGAGACAGACTGCATTTCTGCATTAGAGCCATGGGATAAAATACACCTTAATGAGATCAGGGGACAGAAACTCTGACATTCCCTTCCCACTTTTGTTGTGGGAGTGCCTTCATCTCTGAGCTGGAATGCATTTCTGTTTGTGTACTTGCTGATGAAACTTCTATTAGTGTTTTTGCCTCTGCTTACTAGCTCTGAAACACATTTTCAAGAACATCCACATTAGGCAATTATTAAAATATTAGCCTAGATTCATACTGAGAGTGCCTGAAGGGCCCTCTGACAGAATGTCTGAAAGTTGCACTAGGATTTTATGTATCCGCACTCAACATTTTCAACAAGGACAGAAATGTTTTGTTTCCTGCAAAACACAAAAGGCATAGGTTTTCTGTAGGCTTCTACTCTCAGGTCTCGTTTACTTCCCTGAGATCTGAATGCGAGCTTCCAAGGGCAGAAAGTGACCCTGATTTTATGCAGCAACGTGCATTTCCATTACCATTCTACCTTGCCCATCGTACCTTGCATTTGCAGGTTGTACAAGGAGATCCAACCATCGTCCATACAGCGCCGCTAAGTCTTGTAATTCCATAACCATCTAGACAGGTTTTCCTGATGTCATAGGTGATGTTGTCAGCCAGACAGGGGTCACTGACACAGTGGGGACAGCACTCCCCCTCCGAGATGGCTGTGTATTCGCAGTTTAGATTGGGGCACAGAAGAGGCCAACAATCCACCTCTCCTTCCTGTAAGAATTGAAGCAAAGCTCGTTGAGTTTGTTGCCATTTACTAGCTACCAAGAAACCTTGCATCCTGTTGAAGGGGAAAGTTTTATTTTGCCAGAATTGAAATAAACATAACGGATCAGCTCTCAGTTTGGTCGATCATCTTAAATGCATGTTTGAATACTGAGCTGAAGTTTCCCAAATGTAGCGGACTATCATTTTGTTGTTTTCTGACTAAACAACAACACTGTCATCAGTGTAGGAGGAGAACTTCAGTTCTTTGGCATTTTTAAAGCCAGCATTAAATACTGGGTTCCAATATTTTCCATAAACTATCATTTCTGCAGTAATTGCCTTGCAGACTCATGCCCTCTTTCTACGCCTGGTCACACAGACATCTCTGCAGGATCGCAGCAACTCTTTAAACAGAAAATTAACACTGCAGATAGCTGTCGGTTAGTGTGTTCGAGAAGCATTGAACATCGATCTAACTAGCTACCGCCAAAATTGATTTTACTGTCAACTCCTAAAGGAACTGTAGAGTAATACCAGTTATGTTCCACTGGGTCATTTCATTTTATTATTTAGCTTTGTAAAAAAAGCAGTTTCATAGGTAGAAACATGGAGAAGAGGGAATCATCAGGTCAATTCTGTAGCGCATTGCTGTAGGATCCATGTGTCTAAACCTAACCCGCAAAGGGCTCCAATAACTTGCAGTACACTACTCTGTAAGCACTTCAGATGTTGACAACATCACACACTGCACAGAACCTTCCACGGAGCATGGATTTAGTGCATCACTGTCCTTTAGCTCTGTATGTTTGTTAATAAATAAAATTAGGCAAAGAACTGCTGGCCACAAACTCAGCGTACCTTGCAAAACATGTCACATCTAATATTTGCCATTGCTGCTGGCTGCAAATGTTTCTTGCTGTTCTTTTGCAAATATTTAAAAAAAAAAAATCATCTTTGGAGAATACAAAATACAATACTTACATTACATTATGGCTAATTCTCTTAACAGTAACTTAGCTTTCAATGTAATTTGTTTCCTGATGCTCAGACACCTCTTGATTAGCATCATATATAAAGACAATGTTATACAGACAGCTATAAATGAAAAATAGATAATTTTAATGAAGTTCATTGCTGCACTAATTAGTATATCAGTGCAAAAATTAAAGCTTTAGGGAAATAATCTACAGTGCCTAATGAGAAATGTTCTTTATTTTACATGTTTGTCTAATAATTTCAGATTTCTTTATCCTTCTTGTTTTGGTTAATTTTTGCTAATTCACCATGTGGCACTGGCACTCCATTTTTACAGCATTTGCTGAATGAAAAAAAAATGAATTGCATTGTCAACTTTGATTATACAGGTACGCCAGCTGACATAATTAAAAGCTGAAACTCCTCCAACCAAATCCATCGCATGTGAAAAACTTTTTAAAAGTCATTTAGAGACCAGACAACCTTATAAAAGTTCCCAGAAGTAGACTAATGCTAAAGTAAATACAGTGTCAAGGCTTCCAAGCTTTTGTTAAGCTTTTCGTTTTGTCCATTAGACCTACTTATTTGGCAGTAAGAGGAAAACTGATGGTGTAGCTTTCAGTTCTCTGGTGCTCTGTAAGTGCTTTCCCATCATTCCTAGTCTGAAAAGCAGGTGAGGAGAGCGCCAAGAGCCTGCTTCCAGGTACGCTTTGCTAAAAAGCATAAACCTTATTATTCTCGCTCCCCTCTGAAATGCTTTACCCGTACCAGGCAACGGCACTGCTGACAGCTATAGGTCCAGTTGTCCCCACTGCGGTAGAGCTTGTGCCCAGTTTGGTCGAGGCACTGGCTGGTGACACGGGTGTCGCACTCCGGGCAGCAGAAGAGATCAGCGCTGGGGTTCTCACAGTCACAGGCTGTCCTCCGGCAGAAAATCCTCCCATCCTGTGAGGACACATTGCCCTGCTGTCAACCACTGCCAGACAGCAACCCGGGTAAGGTCACAGGGTATATGCATCAAAGGGCAGGTTGCTGGCATATCAGGAAACATTAAGTTCTTAATGTATTTGATGTTACCTCCAACAAGGACTGGATCCTTCCAGTTGTGAGTAATACCTCAGATAGCAGTATTGTCCCAATTTCTATCAGTGCATGGATCCAATACTGCCTGAATCTGAAAATGCTTGTCTCCAGCTAATCAAATTTAAAAGAAATCAGTATCTCAGAAGAAATATAGTGAAACAATTTCATATCTCATTGGTTACATCAACAAACTCTTCAAGCAGTTGCTGCTCTAATACATACAATATTTGTTTAGCACTATTTTGACTGACTGTATCACTGTGAAGAAAATAACTTGAATAAATTGAAGGTGGTCCCTTTAACTTCATAGAAGATCCATATAGCGAAATCACAGAGGTACTAATCATTCTTTACTCTGAATTCACCACTGGTTCTGTTCCATATCTGGACCTACAGTACACCATTTTAAAGCTAAATGGACTCATCATCATCCACTATAATTCTGTTCATGTATTAAAGAGAGCCTGTATTCCACAGGCTCTGCAAAATATGATTTTGCTAAATATTTGCTTACAGTATTGGATGGCCCATTTTGTTAAAGATCATTAAACAGAAATGTTTGAGATAAACAGAAGAATTGCTTCTGCATGTAGAGAGAAAAGGATATATTCTCTTTGCATCAGAGAAAACCAAATTGATTCTAATTCTAGTTACAAAAATTGGACAGACTACCGTGTTGAAAATAATACCCCTTATTGTAGGTGGGCCAACATACTGATATGCCATGTGTAGACTGGGAACCAAAATCGCAGTTAACGATGAGGAGACTATCGAAAAGTTTTGACACAAACTTCTTTTGCATTCAATGATAAGTTCTTGGCTTAGCCCTTATTCAAGCAAAGCATCCCCTGCAGCCCATTTAAAGGTAGAGCTGCGAGAGGAATGAAACTATATTCTGCTTTGGATCCCAACTGTACAATTCCTAAAACAACTCCCCTCATTTCATTCCAGTTTTTCCATATTCTCATCAGAACCTTGCTCTGAGTCTATAAACCTGTACCTGAGGTAAGAAGGAAAAGGTTTTTTTCATTGCCACCAAGTAAAGGGATACCTGTCGATGTGAGGGAATTTATATCCTCTTGATCCTTTTAAAAAGTCATTACTAAAAAGAGTGACAGCAGCCCAGGATGTCTTGGCCACAGGCAGACCAAATAGCCCTAACCACAGTGTGTAGCACGGGAGGTTGTTTTGTTTGTATTTTGATGTTGGAACCTGCATTGGGCTCTTGTTTTCAAGCAAAGCCAGCAACAGGTACAAAATCAGCATCAGGGAATCGCAACACTCGTCTCAGTCAAGTGTCACTGCTGCATTTCATGGTAGCTTTTAAGTGATTAGAATATTACTTTCTGTTGTAAGAATAATTAAGATGATTTCTGATGCCTAACAAGGAAAGCTGAAGAGAACACGGAATTAGGGAAACCTAGAACACTTGATAGGTTAATGTGGATCTGAGCTGCTTTTGCCAACCACGGGGCACAGGACTAGACTGCCCTACAGTCTTTAATTAGTTTTGTATCAAATTAAGATAACAAAGGATTCTGTACTTGTGGCTGGTTTGCTGCTTTAGCTGTGGAAGAAGCAATAAACAAGCTTTATTTCCTTACTCAGCAGTCTGAGTAAATCGTGAGGGTAAGGAAGACTGTCAGTGGCCTGTTTCCTTAGCCACAGGTCTGGCCAGGTCCAGGTGCAACACTGGGAATAAACCCTTTCCAGATAAAAACCAACGAAAGAAGCCATTCTCGCCTTTCAGCAAGTGGTGAAAGAAGAGAGTCAAAAGCCTTGCCTGGCGGAGAGTTATGACTACATCGCCATTCCTGCAGGTGGGAAAGCACAACCAT